AGATATTTACAGACACAGGAATAGAAACATCAGTGAACGTAGGCATGAACGTCAGCATATCACAATACAGGGGTAACAATACAGTATCTTCTGATGTACTGCGATACTATAGGCACAGCTTTTTTTACAATTTAATTGTAGGAAACCTGTCATCATAGTAAACACTAAATGTTGTTCCATGGTCAACATCAGGTTAGTAAAATCTGAACAGAGGGATCTACATCTGTAATCACTGGAGAAGAAATAAAAGCAAAATAAAACAAACCAACGTCATGAATATTTGACTGCTTATTGTTAATATACTATCGATACAGTGCTGTAGAATATCAATACTGTATAGTGAAACGTAATATCAAAATATTTCAGTTAATCAATGTTTTCTTACACCCGTAGTAAACAGACTAGACATTAAATAGAAGACCAAGTATATAAATCCTAACTAATCTAACCTCAGGGTCTTACTTCCACAGCATATTTACACCACGCTGAAACTTCTCCACACTACTGTGTACAGTGCAATGCCGGTTGCAGCTGAGAGAGTATACACAGAGTATATACAGTACTACTCTGACAAATGCAGTAGCTCATCATTGCCTGGTCTGTGTAGGTGTGATGTCTTTTGAAGCAAAGGTGCCGGAAGGGAGGGTGTGGTGAAACTGATATGTGCCGCTGCCCCGCTCTCTGTCACTGCGCAACGATAAATGTCGGCATTAGGGAGGAGGGACGAGGGCGGAGATGAACTGCTTCTCCTTCCTAGAAGGAGGGATGATACGCAGGTTTGGAGGGAGTGAGGCAGAGCCGGACATGTGCTGAGAGAGAGAGATATGTGGAGTTTTTTCCTCTGCTGCTCAGGAGATAGCGGGGAATGGAGAAAAAGGACAGGTGAAATATTTCCCCCTGTGGCAGTGGAAATGAGGGAGAGTGGAAAAGGACAGGCCTGCACAGAGAAATGGACCCAGGACTCCCAGTGGGGTGAAGAGGCTGAAACACCCAGACCCTGATGGCTCGATCTGGTGTCTCTCTCTCTCTCTCTGTCCCTCCCCCTCTCTCTGTAAATGCACCCTCCAGTGATGGATGATATTAGAGAGTATTCCCTTGGTATACCTCAACCTCAGCAGCACTGAGGGAGCGTTTTTATATATATACACATGTATGTGTAGTATAGGCTGTACTGGTGGGTATTTTTTGTCTCGTGGGGACACTGTCTTTCTGGGGACAGTTTGCAGGTCCCCACTGAGTATGAGTGTAAATGAAGTTTTGGATTAAGTTTGGAGTTAGGATTATGAATTAAGGTCAGATTAGCATGGACAGAGATTAGGGTGAGGCATGTGATCTTAATATTAATATTTAATGGGTTAGCAAAGAGAGCAGGGGCAGGGGTGTCCAAACAGTGTCTCGTGGTCCACATGCGGCCCCTTTGCTTTGACTTCCTGTGAGCTTCTATTAATGGCTGGCTCTGTCTATTTGATCTAATCCACCAGTATTAATACAGTAAACAGCATCCAGTACTGACCCTCAGTGTCAGTGACTCAAGAGCATGGGGAAAAAATAAAAATAAAAAACTTGGTTCTGTCCTACAAGGGAGAGCAGCAGGTTTGTGGTGCTGTAGAAAATATTGCCAAACAGTTTGGATCCTGTTCATAATCTTCTGACCTCATCCATTTGAAATGACGTCTTGTGATTTTCCTGTAATAGTTAAATCAATACTGCGATGCTTTCATTGAGTATGTGTGTATATTTATGTACTATTTACAGTTTTATGCTGTTCACTACGCTCTTCTTCAAACGGTTGAATGTTTTTTTAGGAGTGAATTTGGATTTTATTTGATGATAAAATGATGAAACGGCTGTTTTGTCGTTGAAGGTTACGGAGCTCAGGGACAGGGAACATATAATGTTTATGTGAAGTGCTCAGAAATAGATTTTCTTTAAAAAAGAAAACAGTGTGTGTGTTTTGTGTCTCCCCGGTTTTTCCTCCCTCCTCCTCACCTCCTTACCCCCCGGGAATAGCAACATATCTCGCTGCAATAATCGATAACTGCCCCCCGGCTGCAGCCCCAGCTGCAGTCCCCAGTGCAGGCTTAGTGTGAGCAGCAGCAGCCTCTGTTCTTAATGCCCTGTCCTGCTGCCTCCTGCTCTCAGCCCAGGTCCCTGAGATTAAAGAGTGACCAGAATCCTTTGCTCACAGGAGGAGGGTGAGGAACAGGGGGAAATAGGGCAAAGACATGAAAGATTGTTTATCCAGAAAAATCTTCTCACTGCCATCTTATAAATACTAGTCATTTTACTGCTGGACCACATGGGGCTCCACCTCCTCAGAGACTTAGGCGTGTCGATTCAACAAATCAGCATCTACTGTGGTGAAAAGGAGCCGACGATTATACCCAGCTGGGGTCCATCTGAGGAAGAGGTTCAACCACCGCAGATGGGTTACATCTGGATTAGGATTAGAATGGATTAGATTGGATTGGATTAGATTAGATTAGATTAAATTAGACAAAAGACTAAAAGAGTTCATTAAAAACAGGTGACCTTCTTGCTGTAAGGCAAGTCTGCCTGTCACTTGTTCCATTGTTGGGCCATAAGAGATAAAGAGAGGCAGAAATGGTTTAAATCAGGGATGCCAAATATATGGCCTGTGGGCCGAAACTGGCCTACTGGGGGGTTCAATCTGGCCCACTTGATGAAATTTGATGAAATGTTTGTGATGTTCTGTCATTTGCATGAAAACAAAGGAGAAATACATGGACGTATTGTTATTTATGGTTAATTATGTCATGATTGTACTGGTGCGGCCCACTTAACATCTAATCAGGCTGTATGTGACCCCTGAACCCCTGGTTTAAATGGTCAAATCAATATAAAAAATTGTTCCATTTTTTCACGTAGACATTTTTCCGACTGGGTTCCTGTTGCGCTGATCTTCTCATGTCTCTCCCAGTGGAACTCACACTGGTAGAATCCTTGTCCTCCTGGGACGTTTGTCTCTTTACTGTCTTTCTTTCCCTTAAACACACGGTAAAACTCACGGTACAGAAATCCTCCAGCAACGTTACTGTACTCTACACACACAGTGATGAAGGCACACCGACTCCATTTACTTTTGCAAACACTCATTGATTTTCTCTGCTTGGATTATCCTCCTAAAGCACCGCTTTTCAATTTCAGGAAGCGTAGATTTTTCTTTTTTTTTTTTGCGATCACTGCCCCGAGCAGATGTTACATGCAGGATTAGCAGCGTCTGATATTCAGACGCAAGTGTTTACGAGAGAAAGTCAACACGGATTCAAGAATAACGGGCGAATAAGAGACAGAGGAGAAAAGAAAGTGTGAGGGATGTGAAATAGGGAACAGATGATGACAGAGAAGGAGCGAGAGGTTGGAAGGTGGAAGGAGCTGAGTGCCAGGGTGGAATCAGGATCTGTGAGCAGAAGTGTGAAAAAGTGTAGAGCGAGTCGAGAAAAAAAGAGTGCAGGGAGAAAAAGCTGGAAATTTTTTGAAGGCGACAAATTCTGCCACTTAAAAATAAATATTGTTACACGAAACTGGATAAAACTCAAACTGGATAATGTTTTAGAGGGTTTCTGAATTTGAATCTGAATTTAAATCAGTTAAAAAAATGTCATGTGAGTGTGAACCCTTGCTAATAAATCGAATCACAGTGTCCTCTCAGCTGTTATTTTTTAATATTTTCTTCTAGGTATGTCCGATATGAACTTTTTGCCGTTATGCCGATATTGTCCGAACACTTAATTTCCGATTCCGATATCAACCTATACCGATATATGCAGCAGTTTACCCCGAAAACTGAGGTAAACCTCTTAGTGCCCTACAAGCAATTCCACCATATTTGGCGAAACCAGGCATTGCGTTATCAGGTTTTCATTATCAGAAGTCTAACTGATAACGATTCTTACAGATATTACCTAATGATGCTAATATCGGGCCAATAATATCGGTCAAACATCCCTATTTTGTTCCTTGTCCCCAACATCACCTCCGTCCTGCCTCCTGAGTATTAACCTGTCGCACAGTCACCTTTATAACTGTGGTTAAACCATGCGTTTGCTGCAGACAGGGGCGATGGGTTGATATCAGGTGTGAAGGGGGGGGAGTGTGAAGAAGAACCGCAGCATCTCTCCTCCCCTGTGACTCCCACCTCTCTACCTGTCTCATATGGCATTTATCACCCGTGTCTCGTTTCTCCCACTGCTTTTTCACATCTTAAAAATGGACAAACACGTTGAGGGATGTCCATTGTCTTCTACGCTCCGTCTCTCTCCCCTCGCAGCTCTTTCATCTTCTCCCCCGACGTTGTTTCCCGTGTATGTGTTGAGGTGTGGCCGACACCTTGTAGCTTGGTTACGTTTCACATGATGGAAGAAGCTCCTGGCTTCTCAGCAGCGGAACTGGTGCCAGGTGTCAGCACTCCGTCCCCTCACACTCCCTCACTTTCACTCATTGCTTCCCTTTTTTCCTCCCCCCTACTCTCCTCCCATCCTGCACTCCACTCCTTCACTTTCAGCCCGTTCTGCTGGAAAGATAGGGAAAAACACTCAAACATGCACACACTATCTCATATGTGCAGACATACTTCAGTGACGAGTGCAGGCCTCCAGTCACACAACACAGCGCCGCAGCTCCTCACAAACACACACGTAGACAAACTCACAGTCAGATTTTGTGCCTTTATCCCCTCCTGGTAATCTGTTTACGCAGAGCTGGGCCCATTTGAGGCAGAATTTAATTGAAAGTGGGTTTAATCTGATGGTGGTGCGACACGGTGGTGCCCTCAGCTCTGCCACATCTTCTGTTAGGTTCCACCTTGTAGTCCCCATGCTCCGGTGCTCGCTGCCTAATTTCATGCCTCACGGTTCAGCGTCGGTGTTGACCACTCGTAAACACTCTATTGATTGTTAATCCACCATTTGATATGCAGTTTGCTCACTCAATTCTGATCCTGTTGTTCTCGTTTGTGTCTCCTCTCTGTTCACATCCAGGATGGATATTACTCTCATCGGCCGAAGGAGAAAAATCGAGTTGACAGCAACAATGAAAACTCTGTGCCCAAAGACTTTGAGACCATAGACAATAGTAACTTTGGTGCACGTTCCCAACCTCACAGACAGTCCTTGGGGGCTACAAGCAGCAAGAAGCAGCGAGAACATCTGCTGGAGAAGGTTCACGCCCAGCAGCAGCAGGTGTGGAGGGAAAACCCAGCAAGTCTGGGCCGCAGCTCAAATGAAGTACTGCCTGTTGGACACCAGGTGCTGGCAGTGGGCAACAACTCGTCCTACCCAGGTGGGAAGGGCATTGTGGGAGTTTCTCAGCAGCGGTACCACACCTCACAGGCCCAGGCCCAGCACAGACATCAGCACCCACACAGGAGGCAGGCAACATCTGCGCCGCTGCTGGAGGTCACCTACGACCAGCCACCAAAGTGTGAGATCAGTGGGAAGGAAGCCATTTCAGCTCTGTCCAGAGCCAAGAGCAAAGAGTGCAGGCAGCAGATCGCAGAGGTGTACTGCAGGCACAGGGAGGGCCAGCTGATGCCTGAGAAGGTCACCCGCTACTGCCACCTCGAAGGTGAGTCCATCGGGGAAGTTGAATGAATGGATTATTTGATTTTCGGTTCATTTAAGCTGTTATTTGTGAGGTGGTTGAGCAGTCACTCTGTATTCTGAACAGAAATTCTCTCAGTGAACGGGTATACCATACCACAGCACACCATACCATCCCATCCCATACCATACCATACCACAGCACACCATACCTTACCATCCCATACCATACCATACCATACCATACCACAGCACACCACAGCACACCACACCACAGCACAGCACACCTTACCATACCATATGAAACTGTTTGTTGTGATACGTACAATATGATCATTACAATACGATACAATAGCAGTTTTCCCTGACGGTCATTTTAGCCTTGCAAGGACTGTTGTAATAGTCAACCTTAACTATTACATGCTGAATGAATGCATTAAAAAATAATTCTTGAATAATGAATTACTGCTTTAAAGAATTACACAAAAGAGGAGCAGGCATTTGCATCCAATCCTCATCTTCAACCCCCACACACTACGAAACATTTTCAGTGCTGGAAAAATACCATCCAGATTTATAGAAAAGCAGTGACATTGAAAAATATTTTGCTTTATTGTAGCTCTCCGATGTAAAATGACAAAAAAGGGGACCTTTTGCCTTTACTGGCCTGTGCTTCATTCAGACCAGGTTTTACAGAAGAGAAATTCTCCGTTGATACTTGAAAATGTCCTAGACAGATAATAGAATAGTACGTGCAGGGACACAGACACACACCTAAGGATTTATGGACATCTGCAGTCTGCATGTCAACACCATAAACCAAAGCTGCCGCGGTAGCAGCGATCGGTGAGCTGCACGCATCAGCAACCGTGTTTAAGTGAAGGGCTCGTACACGGCTCCTACACACAGATACATCTCCAGACCGGGAGAGGAGTGGATGTAGAAGGGACAGCAGCAGAGACTGTTCCAGGCAGATACCCTTCCTGGCTGCTGTTATTAGTAACTGGAGGAGGTGCAGTGACTCTGCAGCTCTGCTCCATCCTTATCCCCAGGAGCTGGGCTATCGTTTGTCTGAGCCTAAGCTCCTGTCATATCACAGCACAAACTCAGCGTTGCACTCGGAGTGACAGTTTGATCAGAGGAGACAAAGAAATTGAAAGGGCTTTTCCCCTGGTGGCCGGGCTGTAACAACACCACGGCTCAATTAAATCACTTTTCTTTCTTTACGCTCCTACTGTCCGCCTGCTGCCTGCCAATGTCTTTTCCCTCTCACTTTCTCTGTCCCTGTGTCCAAATCCAGCTCTGACCTTGTTAGTGTACAATGGGATCTCATCAGTATTTCTCCTGGAGCCATGGCCTGGATCTGGTCTTAGATCTGCAGCATCAATGACTAGAGCTGGAACTTGTTCAATGCTGGCCTCACTGTGTGAATTATAGTAAGAGTGACCTCTGTGGGTCAGGAGGTCACGTGACCTCACACACGGTGGTCCAATAACCATCAAAGTGTCTTTGGTTTTTTTTTTTTGTTATGCTGTAAATGTATGACTCAGACTGATTATTGCTGCTGCCTTACAAACAGGACGTTTCTAGTTCAAGCCCTTGTGTAAGGATTATTCATGTTCTCACCATTAATTAATTTGAAAATTGTATTTATACCCAGCTCTACTTTTAATAATTTAAGAAATGAAAAAGACTGTAATTAAATGTATTCATGTTCCTAAAACTGTCACTGTTCTGCCATAACCAACAGCCAGCTGGTAGAAGCAGTCTCTGAGAGGATACAAAATAGACAAAATGTAGTAATTGGGAACTTTCCGAAAGGACTCAGCCATGAGTTTGTGGTTGACTGAGTACTTCAGGGTTTATTCATCAGCCGGTCTGCTCTGATCCGTCTCCACAACGGCTCATTGCACTAAAATAAAACTGTTGTTTACATTTAGTTCTTCACTGCAGGTGTTTTGACTAAAGTTTGTTGCTGAAGTTTGTCTCCTCTCTGATCCACTAACACAACATCTCTGTGATGTTTACTGTGGTGCTGCTGTTTCCCAGCTCCTCTTTAATTACCTCACCTGGGACGTGCTTGTTGTTTTCTAGTCCTTTTTTTTCCTTTGTTTCGTCTGTGGTTCATTTACAGATGCACCAGAAATCACAAGCGGTGTCCTTAAATGGTTCTCTGAGTCTGTGCCACTTTAGGTATTTGGTTTTTACTTAGTGCAGTTTTAAAAGGTCTAGGTAAAAGGGCACCAGTTACCCTCGGTGCTCCGTCAGAATGTGTCTGTTTTTTTATTGGGTGCAAAATAAAGAGTCAGGGACTGTGGTGGTACCATGGACAGCACCCGTAAAAAATGACTATTTAGCTTCTTTTTTTTCACTTTAAGAACCCAGTTTTAGAGGTTGGTTTCCTTACATGCAGTGAACAGAGTTAATTTTTGTGCAGCAGCTACACTGTCCTCCGTTGTACACAGCACGACTCGTAGCATTGATTTAAAGAATGTCCACGGTGGACTTGACATCTTCTCTTTAATTTAGAGATTCAACCACTGCACCGCTAAACTTTGTAAACTCTCTCCACCCGCTGCTGAAATGACAGTTACACAAATGGGAGGAAGTTTGAGAGATGATTTTACCTGCAAAAAAACCCACTGCGTAGGTGATGAGTTTAAGACGTAACTGGAATATGACACGTACAGCTTCACAGAGAAAAGACATGTTCAACAGAGAGGTCTGTTAAAGTTGTCAAGTTTACACTCTCTCTCTCTCTCTCTCTCACACACACACACAGAGCAGTGCTCATTAGTTCAGCTAGCTAGCATTGACCACACACTCAAAGAGCTTTGTGGCCAATTATCTTAGTGTAAGGCAAACCAGTGAACCTTCTTAGCTGGCCACCAATTACTGTTCAATCTGATATGCCCCCCCCCCCCGCTCCCCAACCTGTCTCTCTCACTCACACATACACATACATTCACGCACACAGAGCAGCAAGAAATAAAAATAAAAAAAACTAACTGTGAGTGAGTGACAAGAGCCAAGGCCGATTAGAGTGTTTAAGCTCACCCTAGTGGCCAAACCTTGAAACAAATTGTTAGGAACCTGGCTTTGCATTTGAATGAAGGAGATCAGTGGACAGGGAGGGGCCCACTTAGCCCCCCCCTGTCCACTCATTATGAGCA